AGAGACACTGTTGCCGCTCTCTGAGCTCAGGTTTCCCTCCTGAAGGCAGCACCGGTGTCTCCTCCTGGGGACCTTGAGTGGGTCAGCCCAGGCCAGGGAGGTCGAAGGGCTCTGTGAGCTGTAAGAGGCCAGCACCCGCGGGCGGGGGCGCTTGTCCTGGGGTCAGGCTCCCCCGCAGGGCGGAACACGCATGCACTGTTCCCAGCGGGAGGCGCATGCCATCCAGTGAGTCCCCGCTCCCAGGCCTTTCCTGAAGGCACTGGAAGATAGGCAGCATCCCAGAAGCCCAGGAAAGCCCCGGGGGCTGATGCTGGGGACCACAGATGAGGGCGGTGTCCCCCCAGAGCAACTGCGCAGACAGGGCAGGGGTGCGGCTCCAGGGTCCCGGGGTCCAGCTCCTTCCCCGCATCAAACTCCTTCTGCAGGAAATCCCGGAGCCGCTCCTCCATCCTGCCTGAACTTGACTGACCCGGCCGACAGGTGCCCGGCACAGCTGCCTGGAGATCAGAAGATTCCACACGTCCCCCTCCACCTGCCCGGCACCCCCATGCCCAGGAGGCTGCCATCCAGAATTCTGGCTTTCCCTCATCTTTTTCCAAGCCCAAGGCCCTGGAAGAATGTTTGCACGAAACAGCTTTGCAAGCCAGAGCCCTCTGGGGGCGTCCCAGGGAGCAAAACCTCCCTCCTGTGTCTATAGATTTGCCCACATTCCCAGGGAATAAACTGCATCTCCCCGCACCCAACCACGCCCCGCAGACGTTGGCTTATCTTCCAGGGTCAAAGGACACTGACTTCCCTGCGGCAAAGACTGAGTGGGATCCTAGCCATTCCCTTAGGAGATCGAGGGTTTCCTCGGCTGACACAAACCTGCTCTGTTTGCCCCCACGAGACTTGGGGACGCGGAGGGGGACGAGAACTTGCTGCACCGTGAGTAATAAATGTCAGGGCCCATCAGGGCTGGGCGCTTCCTCCGTGGTCGAGTTTATGGGAGTCTGGTGCAAACGTGGCTGCTGCTGGGCCACTGCACTGCGGGTTCCTGTGCATCTCGGGTCACCGGGGTTTCTCCCTGGCTGTGCCCAAACCTCACCTGGCCTCCCAGACTCTGTCTCCCTGACTCCACGGCACGCTCCCCCGCGGTCTGCGTCCAGCCTCTCGGGCGGCCTTCCGCTCAGTGAACCAGCCACGCCGGTTCCCACGGCAGGCCCGTGCGGGCTCCCGTGGTCCCTCTCAGCTCATTCTCGCCGTCGGGGAGTCCCGGATTTTGTTTGTTTGTTGTTTCCTTTTTTCCTTTTTCCTTCCAAGTTTTATTTGAGGTTTTGGGGTATCCACATGCAGGTTTGTTACATGGGTAAATTGCATGTCACGGGGGCTTGGCATGCAGATTATTTCATCGCCAGGTGCTGAGAGCATGTACTGACGGGCGGTTTGTGCAGCCCCACCTCCTCCCGCCTCCGCCCTCAAGAGGGCCAGTGTCTGCTGTCCCCTCTGTGTGTCCACCTGTACTCAGTGTGTAGCTCCCACTTACGAGCGAGCACATGCGATGTTTGGTTTTCTGTTCCCGTGTTGACTCACCTGGACAGGAGCCTCAGAATGGACACAGCCCCCTCAAGAGCGGCCTTCCCTGGCCACTGTCCCAAAAACAGTCCTCCCGTCTCCCTGCCCCAGGCAGTCGCTGGCATTCCCATTCATTCGTTCCCCGCCGAGCATTCACGGGGCCCCACCCTTGCAGGCTCTATCTGGGCTCACAGGATGCAGCCGTGAGTGGGACACGGACCCTGCAGACACGGAGTTAACTCCAAAGGGAGACAGGAGAGAAATCAAACACGGAGGCAGCCTCTGGACTCTCTGGTGCTCTGCGCTGGAGTTAGGAGGGAGGCCAGGGCCGAGGCCGCCCAGGCGTGGGGGGACAGAGCAGTGAGCAGAGGGGCACGTCACACCCTTCTCCCCCCACAGCCCTTCTCACTCCCCTTTTCACATCATCTTATTCCACGTCCTCTGCAGAGCAGGCACCGAAGCGGGATTCAACCTGCGAGGAGACTTTTTAATGGAGGGAAACACCCACCCTTGAGTGGCAGCACCGAAGCCAGGAAGGCTGGGGAGCATGAGACCTCGAGGAAGCGGGGAGGCCGGGCGGAGGTCCCTGGGCCCTGGGAGGCTGAGGCAGGTCCTGGCCTTCTGCAACTGGAGGTGCACCAGGCAAGCCCCGTGAGCTGTGGGCAGATGCCCTCCACACTGGATGTGCCCGTCCCAGGCACTGCCCAGCCCGGAGCCCACAATTGCACCGGCACATAGCAGACACGTCATTGACAGGTGAGTCGGGGGAAGCAGCTACAAGCCCCCCACCCCACACACACGCTGTGACATCACGTGGCCAGGTAAGAATGCCGCCAGCTGCTCCTGCCATAAGTCCCCCCTCCCCTTTGTAACTGGTGGTCCTAGGAGCTTGAGTGTCCTGGTCCCAACAGCCGTTAACTCAGTGGCTTTAGCGCCGCAGCTGCCGCGACAGATTACCGCAAACAACACAAGTGTGTTCTCTCCCCGCTCTGTAGACAGGAGTGTAAAATGGGTCACGCCGGGCGAGGCTGGTGTCAGCAGGGCTGCGTTCCTTCTGCCTGCGTTCCTGGGCACACGTGTGGCCCTGTCCCCATTTCCAAAGTCCATCCCTCCAAGCTGTGCGTCTGTCCCTGCATCCCCTCCTCAGGCCTGACCCTCCTGCCTCCTTCTTATAAGCACCCTGAAGACCCCCAGGGCCCAGCTGGATAATACAGAGTAGCCTCCCCATCTCCAGTTCCCTCATTAGCCACATCTGCAAAGCCCCTCTTGCCGTATGACGTGACCTGTGACGGCAGGTTCTGGGGCTCGGGTTGGGCACACCGCTTGGGGATGCCACTGAGCCGACTTCAGCATGCACTGCCGATCTTCACCTGAATGCGTTGATTCCACGGGATGGCACGAAGGGGGACTTTCAAAACCGTCACCTCTTCCACATTGGCTGGATTGTTCTGGGAGGAAGTGCTTCCTACTTCTAGGGCCGCCATGGGCCACAGATACTGTTCATCCAATGCTCTTCATCCTATGTCCCAAATTTGGCTGCCACAGCCCCTTCCGCCCGGCAGCTGAGTCCTCTTGAGGCGCCCTGTCCGTCCTCAAATGCATCTGCCCCCCTGGCACAACGCAATCCATGCTCCGGCTCATCCTGTGACCACCTCGGCCCAGATCTGGACTCCAGTCTTCTCAGGAGCCCTGGCCCCACCGTGCGGCACAGCTTGGGAAAGCACCGGTGAGGCCCGTGTGCTGGGGTGGCACTGATGTTAGCTTCTTTCAGCGGTTAGAGAGAGCAAATGGATTTTTTTGGAATTAGGAGTTACTGCTGCCACTTCCGATCTGAGCACAAGCCCCCAGAAACCTTCTTCGCCCCTGTTCCACATCTGTATCTCCCACCTCCCAGCAAGGGAAAGAGGCCTGGTTCCACGGAAGACCACCATGCTGCCAGGGATGGCCCACCCTTCATCCAGACAGTGGTTTCAGCTGATGGCAGCAGCAGCACTGCTGGGACAAAGCGGGCCTGCCACGTAGAGCCACCCATCCCCACCGGCCACGCAGAGCCGCCCGTCCCCACCTGCCACGCAGAGCCGCCCATCCCCACCTCCCACGCAGAGCCACCCCCACCTCCCACGCAGAGCCGCCCGTCCCCACCTGCCACGCAGAGCCACCCATCCCCACCTCCATAGGCCCCTTCAAAAGCTGCATCCACTCTTTCTTCTGTCTGGTGTTGCTGCCAATTGTTTTAGGTTCATTGATTTCTGCTCAAATTCAATGTTCGATTTTTTTTTGTGCTTGTTGATTTAATTCCTTTTCTGACATGAAAACATTTACATGATTCAAAAGTCAAAAAACATGTAAAGGAGTCTCTGCGTTCTCCCAGTCCTCTCCACCCGGTCCTCCTGCCTGGGGGTAAACACATTCACCGCCTCTGGGGCTTCCTTCCTGGGCTGCTCCATTCAAAATCAATCTCTCTCCCTTTCTCTTTCCCCCTCCTCCCCACGCTTACGTGTGTGTGTACAGTTTACGTATATGTAGCTTGCATGTGTCATTTATGTGTGTGTAGTTTCTGTACGTAGTTTCTGTGTGTGTGGTTTATATTGCGTGTACAGTTTGTGTAGTTTATGTGTATGTGTATAGCTTGCACGTGTAGCTTACAAGTATGTAGCTTGTGTGTGTGGTTTATATGTGTGTGCATAGTTTGTGTGTGTAGTTTATGTGTGTGTGTGTGTGTGTGTGGCTTATATGTGTGTGTATAGTTTGTGTATATAGTTTATGTGTGTGTACTTTGTGTGTGTGGCTTATATGTGTGTGCATAGTTTGCATGTATGGTTTATGTGTGTGTAGTCTGTGTGTGGTTTATGTGTGTGTGTGTGTGTGTGTGTGGTTTCTGTGTAGTTTATGTGCGTGTAGTTTCTGTGTGTGGTTTATATGCGTGTGTATAGTTTGGTGTGTAGTTTACGTGTGTTTAGTTTATGTGTGTCGTTTATATATGTGGGTATACTTTGCGTGTGTAGTTCACATGCACATGAGTAGTATGTGCAATGTGTGTGCATATGGATGATTTGTGTGTGTAGTTTATGTGTGTACATAGTGTGTAGTTTATATGTGTGTGCATAGTGCATGTGTGATTTGTGTGTATAGGTTGTATGTGTAGTTTATGCGTGTGTGTAATTTACATGTGTAGTGTGTCTGCCTGTGTGATTTCTGTGTGTCATTTACGTGTGTGTGTAGTGAGGAAATGTGTGATTTATGCATGTATAGTTTACATGGTGGTGTGTGTGCATGTGTGTAGTTTGTGTGTGTGGCTTACATGTGCGTGTATGCTGTGTGCTGTGATTTGTGTGTGTGGTTTACCTGTATGTGTAGCATGTGTGATGTGTGTGGCTTATGTGTGTGTTGTGTGATTTGTGTGTGGTCTACATGTGTGTGTGGTGTGTGTGGTGTGTATGATTTGTGTCTGGTTTACGTGTGTGTGTGGCATGTGTGATTGTGTGTAGTTTATATGTGCATGTGTGGGGTGCGTGGTGTGTGTGGCTGTGTGTGGTTTACATGTGTGTGGTATGTATGATTTGTGTGTGGTTTACACATGTGTGCTGTGCATGATTTGTGTCTGGTTTACATGTGCGTGTGTGGTGTGTGTGTGGTCTACATGTGTGTGTAGTGTGTGATTGTGTGTGGTTTATATGTGCATGTGTGGGGTGTGTGTTGTGCATAATTGTATGTGTGGTTTACATGTGTGTGTGTGTGTRTGGTGTGTAGGATTTCTGTGTCTGGTTTACATGTGTGTGTGTGGTGTGTGGTCTACATGTGTGTGTGGTGTGTGATTGTGTGTGGTTTATATGTGCATGTGTAGGGTGTGTGCTATGCGTAATTGTATGTGTGGTTTATGTGTGTGTGTGTGTGTGTGGTGTATATGATTTCTGTGTATGGTTTACATGTGCATTTGTGGTGTGTCTGATGTGTGTGATTGTGTGTGTGGTTTACGTGTGTGTGTGTGTGTGTGGTGTGTGTGCTTGTCCCCTTACCCCCCTTCTCACCCTCCTACAGATGCCCTTGGCGCCGTGCCCACTCCGCTGACCAGCCGGTCTGTACTCGCCAAGCTCCAGCTCCTGAGGTCTCCCCGGGCTCCCCATGGCCACTCAATGCCCCGAGCTGTGGCTGTTCCCATGTGCACACCTGCCTGGTGGATGAGCACCCAGGTGCTCCCAGCATCTCGCTGTGACAAATGAGGCTGTGCCGCCTCCGTCAGCACGCACAGTTCCCAGTCTGCAGAGGTGTCGCCTTGGGGGAGATTCCTAGAAATGGGATCGCTGGTCCAGGGGCAAAGCCATGTCATTTTGTTAGCTACCGCCACCTTCTGCTCCCTCTGGGGAAGGACGATTCCCGCCCAGCGTCTGAGAAGCTGGTTTCCCACGGCCTCCTCCAGCGGGTAGTCAGGGTTTTGAATTGCTGCCAGTCTGAGGCGTGAGAAACCGCATCTACGTGCAGCTTGTGTTACAAGCCTCGTTCCCTGTACTTCAGAGCTATTTGTTTATCTTGTTCTACGCACTCTGTCCATGGATTTTACCCACTTCTCTGTGGAGTTTCTGGGTTTCTCCCATTGGCTTGAGTGAGCCACGCACACAGGGAGCTGGAGGGATGTGAGGCCTGCCCACAGGAGACCTGCCCACGGGAGACCTGCCCACGGGAGACCTGCCCACGGGAAACCTGCCCACGGGAGGACCGAGGAGGCGGCTGCTCCACAGACGGCCTGGGGAGGCCCACCCTGCGGGGAGACAGTGGGTGTGTCGCCTGGGCTCTGGAAGCAGTGGGAAAAGCAGAAAAAGGGCAGCCAGGAAATTCCAGTCCCAAGCCCACCTCAGGAGCAGAAGCAAAGGCGAATCCTTTCCAGAGAAGGCACTGGAAACCTGGGCCTCCAGGAATCCTCGTGGAAAGGGGTCCAGGGAATGCAGCCTTGCCACCTTACAAGTCACCCACACTCAGGGAAAAGCCGCCCTCCCCACAACAGGGCCCCCTGCAAGGGCACCTGGGAAACATCAGGACCTTTCGGCCAGCCATGGAAGAAGGCACTCTGGGGACCCGGGGCCTTCTCTCCTGGGGAGGCCCGGAGCGCGGGCGCTGGGTCGGCGGCTCTGCACCTGGAAGAAGGGTGACCAGGGTGCAGAGCAGGCAACCCCTCACCCGCGCTCCGGGCCTCCCGAGGAGAGAAGGCCCCGGGTCCCCAGAGCGCCTGTGCAGCCCCCAGCTCCCCCCTACTCCCCTTGCCAGCCCCTTTGGCTGTGACCCCGGGAAAAGTAATTGAATCCCAGATGGGACTTTCACTTGAAAGTCAAAATGTTGAGCTTTGGCTTTGGTGAGAGCAAGAAAGTGCATGTTCACTTTAAGGTCTAAGCACTGGAATTTGCAAGGGCACTTGACCGGCTGATGTCTTCCCTCAAGTCACGCAGGGATGGAAGAGCCCCACGTTCCGGCTGCTGCGTGTCACTGTCTTCCATTGCCACAGCAGGGCGGCAGTGTCACGTGGCCGTGCACCTGGACACCATGGACGGCGGGTGGGAGGTGTGAGTTCCAGCTTGGGCACAAAGGAGCGGTGGGTGGGTTTCACGAATCCTGGTGTAAACGCCCAATGTGTTCACCTTGCCAGCTGCCTAGACAAAGCCCATTTATCAAGACAGGGGAATTGCAATGGAGAAAGAGTAATTCACGCAGAGCCGCGGTGCGGGACACCAGAGTTTTATTACTACTCGAATCAGTCTTCTTGAGCATCCAGGGATCGGAGTTTTTAAAGATAATTTGCCAGGTAGGGGCTTGGGATGTGGGGAGTGCTCACTGGCCAGGTTGGAGACAGAATCGTAGCGGGTTGAAGTGAGTTTTTCTCCCTGTCTTCTGCTCCTGGGTGGGATGGCAGAACTGGTTGAGCCAGGTTCCCAGTCTGGGGGGCGTTGGCTGATCCACACTGAGGGTCTGCAGAATATCTCCAGCACTGATCTTAGGTTTTCCAACAGCGTTGTTATCCTCAGGAGCAATCTGGGGAGATTTCTAATCTTGTGGCTGATTTGTCTGTCCTGCAAGGGCAGACTGGCCCCCAGGCAAGAAGGGGGTCTATTCGGGAAAGGGCTGTCATCAATTTTGTTTCAGAGTCAACCCTTGAACGGAAGTCCTTCCCAAAGTTAGTTGAGCCTGTGCGCAGACATGAACAAGGGCAGCTGAAAGGTCAGAAGCAAGATGGAGTCGGTCAGGTCTGATCTCTTTCACTGTCATCATTTCCTCAGTAATAAATTTTGCAAAGGTGGTTTCACTGGGGGTGAACCCAAACGGACCCCACATTCCAGGAGTGGCTTCATGAAGGGAGCTGACAGTTCTCCTCTCCCTAGGGGCGGTCCCACAGCTGACCACAGGCGTGAGGACGAGGCCCTCGGGCAGGGCAACAAAGGCCGGCAAAGGTGGGGGCGTCCTCCCCAGTTCCCCAGCCTCCTTCCACAGGGAGAAAACTGATTCTCCGACCCCCGCCTCTCCCCTACCGTTAGTCACCCACCCTCAGGCAGGGAGGGGCTGGCAAATCCGGGCAGGGTCTGCAGGGCAAGCTGGGCTCACTCGGCACTCGGCCTGCACTCGGCCTCTCTGCTGGACAGGCGGGGGCTCCCTGGAGGCCAGACTGGGCCACACCTTTGGGCAGGCGGCCCCTCCCACTCTGGGGTTCAGGAAAGGCCCCGTTGGCCTTCACGCTGAGTGTGTCCTCTGACCAGCCTCCGTTGGGAGTAACGGGCAGCCTGGCATCACATCCTCAGCGGGCCCCTTCCTCCGAGCTAAAGTATTAAAAATGAGATTTCACAACTGCGTTGGTAGAAAGATGACTGCAGTCCAGACTGCACCGTGTTTATTCTGATTTTAGAAGAAATAAAACCACTTTCCTGACCCTGAAAGTCTCCCGGGCCCTGGTACTAAGCCTCCCTGTGAAAGGAAAGTCAATCTCGGGCCCCAAAATCACCAAGCTGAGGGAAGAGTGAAGCTGGCACTGTGCGGGCAAACCCGCCTCCCGTTCCCCCCAGATGAGATGTCTGCAGAGATGCTGCCTCCCTCACAGTTTGCCCACAAGGAAATTCCTCAGGAACGAATGACAGACAGAACCCAAGGCCATCCCTCTGCCCCCCTGAGACAAATGCATGTCTGATGGCTTCCTCTGTCCTATTGTTGATGTAAAAATGCAGATTCCCTGGGCCAGACTGAATTGTGTATCCAGGGGGAGGCTGATCAGGGCTCAAAAGAATACAGGCTTTGTCTCTTAGCTACTTACAACCTGGAAGCTGCCCCCACCCCACCCGGCAAGCTGTCCAGCTGTCCCGCCGTACCAGACCGAACAAATGTACATCTTACACACACTGACTGATGTTTCGTGTCTCCCAAAATGAATAAAAGCGAGCTGTACCCCGACCACCTTGGGCACAAGTCATCAGGACCTCCTGAGGCTTTGTCACAGGCCCCTACTTCACCGTGGCAAAATATATTTTCTAAACTCATTGAGACCTGTCTCAGATACTTTTTGGCTTACAACCTGATGGAGAGGTTGGTCCTGATGGAGGGTTGGTCCTGATGGAGGGTTTGTCCTGATGGAGGGGTTGGTTCTGATGGAGGGTTGGTCCTGATGGAGGGTTGGTCCTGATGGAGGGGTTGGCCCTGATGGAGGGTTGGTCCTGATGGAGGGTTGGTCCTGATGGAGGGTTGGTCCTGA